ATACCAGATGTGCCTATTACTGTTCTTGCAGTTTTTTGTCTACTTGACAATTACAGTGCTGTTATCTTTAGAATTTGTGGTTTAGGAAGGACCTATTTGAGATTTTTTAATACATTAAAGGTAAATTTGAGATTTTTAAAAGATTAAGGATCAAATTGAAAAGTAACTCAAAGATTAGGGACCATCCACCTCAGAAAACTTAGAAGAAAACAGAGGAAAATCGAGGTTCAGATTATAGAACTTGAATTTGCAAAATGATGGCTGACTCTTCAGCAAGAACTGACACATTAATTTGTTATCAATATTGATTGGAGAAGAAATGGTATTATAGAGGTTCGAGCAAAAACCAACCGAGGGTGTGATGGTATCATAAAAGTATTGACGATTAGCAAATGGTTTAAAGTTAAGGCTGATGGTGTTGTGAGGATATTTGATGGCACACGAAATATGGTGACATGGCAAAAAGAAGATACTCCTTGTTGCACAGGATCCTGTCAAGCGCGAGGGTGTGATGTGTCTCTTCCTCATCCTGCCATGTGTTCGTTCCTACATGTCGGTACCGTGTTTGCCCAATGCACTTACTCAAGTTAGAGATGGCCAGATGGGGTCTGACTATCAGGTTCAACTTAAGATTTGTTGCTTACATTTCCTAATAAGCTTCCTGGCATTTACATGGGGTGAAGTAATCATGGCATCTAGCATATCACTTCAGCCGCTCGGTCTCTTGAAATTAGATGTTCTGGTAAAATACATTTTTGGTTATGAGATTTGGAGCTAGTTACTATTTTGGTCCCTGAATTTAAAAAACCATCATTTTTTGGTCACTGACATTTAAGTTTAGTTTCAATTTAGTCCTTGAAGTTTCTAAAGTGACATGTGTAGTCCCTGAAGTTTGAGTTTGAATTCTAATTGGTCCCTGAGTTAAGTTGATCGTTAGTAGACTGACGAGATTTTTCATTCCCTTTTATCTAAGTAACAAAGTTTAGTCAACATATGTTAATCATGATATCATCATTTTGTTAGGTCAACTAATGGTCAACTCAATGCAAGGACCAATTAGAAACCAAATTCAAATCTTAGGAATCAATTCGAAACCAAGCTTAAACTTCATGGACCAATTAAAAACTAAATTCAATCTTTAGGGACCAAATATAACATTTTTGAAATCTAAGGACCTAATAGAAACTAAATTTAAATTTTAGGGACCAAATAGAAACTAAATTTAAATATTTGGTCCTTGGGACCAAATAGAAGTTATGGTTTTTTTAGACACGCAAGCAACTATTAAGATCCATTGATGTAAGAGGTGATCTGGACTGCTGCGATTTCCTCAATTGGTTAAGGCACAGGACAGCCTTCCCATATGGGCAATGGGCTGGGTGGCCCATGATAAAGCCCAAGCCCTGCCTTGTAACTGGGCTTCCAGAGGCCCAGCCCATCCAAACATTAAAAATCCACGTTTTTTTAAATTCTTTTAAAATTTTAAAAATAAAATTTGAATTATTAAATGCGCAATATAAAGTCAGAGCGGGAAGGGGAGGGTAGGTAGAAAATAGAAATAAAGGGGTTCAGTTTCCCGCCCTAAAATCAAACATTTTTCAATCAAATTTCCATAAAATCTTTCCCTCCAAACTTTGTTTTTTAATTTTTAATTTCAAATTCTTATTTTGACAATTTTTTACTCTGTTGACTCATTAAATTCACGCACATGCATGTACTGACGTACCAAACAAAATTGGTTCAATTCATGTAATTTTCTTCACCTTTGGGGTTATTATAGTAATAAACTTGCTATTGATAAATGGCCATTTATCTTTCCAAAGATAAAGTTTTAGTGTCAATTTGATTTTTTTTTTATTACAACATGTTGGGGAGGGGATTTGAACTTATGTCAATTACTGTAGAGTTATGCTCGCTTTGTTAGTGTCAATCTGAAATTAACTCAACTGAATAAAAAATAAAATTTAATTTATGTACTTTTTAATATTTGTTCATCTTAATGTCTATGCTTACAAAGTGTATGATTTGATCCCTATATTTTTAAAAAGAGTGTATGATTTGATCCCTATATTTTTAAAAAATAATTATTTTAGTCATTTGCTTGCAAGAATTAAACAAAAATTCGATTCAAAATGGAAATTCTCTTTCTTTTAATACTGTATATGAGAGTTTGAACCTCTCACTTCAAAAGGAAGAATAGATATCAATTATCGTTGAACAATGCTAATATTGGCAAAATAAAATTTATCAATATAACGTCATGTTAAAATTATGATGGAACAAATGAAATTTAAAAAAAAAATGAAGGAACAAAAAGGAAAGTACATGAATTTTAAATACAAGAGCTAAAACAAATGTTTTGAGAGTAACTTTAAAGTTTTTTTTTTTCATTTAAAAAAAAAGTTATTAGGTGGGTCACGCTTCCTCAAAATTGGGGGCGAAAATCCAAAACTACCCACAAGGTTCAAATTTCCCGGAAAAATTCAATAAAAATTCAAATTACCCGCTGTTTTTTTCAAAAAAGTCAAAAATTAAAAATTAAAAATTAAACCCTTTTATTCCCCCAAAATTCATCCTATAAAATGCCCTAGTTTCCCTCATCCTCCTCCATCCATCAATCATCCAAATCCCTAAACCCCAATCAAACCCTAATCCCCAAATTCCGCCGGAGCCCTCCTCCGATTCCGACAAT